GGAAGTGGTTGAGTCCCCATCCCTGGAGGTGTTTAAAAGACATGTAGATGTGGTGCTTAGGGACATGGGTTAGTGGTGGACTTGGCAGTGCTAGATTAATGGTTGGACTCGATGATCTTAGAGGTCTTTTCCAACCTAAATGATTCTATGATTCTATGACAGTGAAGTGTAGCCTGGCATAGTTGGTAGCTCTGTCCCAGGCAGAGATTTGAGACCCCGTATCAATCAAGGCACAAAACAAGATTGTTATACTATTGGAGAGAAAAAATTTCCTGCTATGAAAGGAGACCTGTGCTGGCTTCTTTCTCTGTTTGGTGTAAAGATATTGGGCCTGGAATTGGTGGTGGTCTTGCAGATAGGCCAGATCTCCTGAGATTTCAAAGCTGTATTAGTCATCTCTCTTTTTTTTTTTTTTTTAATGTCCTTCTGAAGTCTGTGTGGGGAGACTCCCCTGCCATTGTGTGACTTTGAGGCTGCAAGAGATAAAAAGTAATAACAATCTGCAGCTGCTGCTCTTTTTTTTTTTTTTTTAAGTGCACTCGAACATCCTTTAAAAATATTTCTGGAAAACATGTGGCATCTAGGGCCACCTGTTAGTCCGTTAGAAAGTGAGAACAAACTCCCACTGGCAGGGCACAGCTCAGCCTGGGGCTCTGATTCTCCTGAATAATGTACTTTTGCTGATTTATGCTATGGAACAGTAAATCTATATTGACATCAGTGAGTGCCAGCCCACGGAAGGACCCTGAGATTTGTCTCATTCTGTCTGAGTGTGCACAAAAGTGCACGCTTGTATGTGTGCTTATCCATGCACAGCTGCTACCCAGTGGAGCTGCATCTGGAAGAGATGGATTACGTCTGGTGGGAATGTGGATGCCATATCCTCACGGAAAGAAGCAGCGTGTGACTTATACTTCAGCCAAGAGGCAAGTCAGTGGAGCTGTGAACCTGTTACTTCTGCATTCCACTAACTTCAGGCTGCCAGGGAACCCAGAAGCATCTCAGGTTGTAGTTTGGGTTTGGCTGCTTTGGTTCACCTTTGGTATCAAGTTGGCCTGAGCCACGGATCAACCCTGAAGATAGAGTGGACCTGCAGGGACTCACATTTGGCCCTCCTTGTCCTCCTTTCCCTTCTTCCCATCTTCCCCATCTTGTTTTGCCTGGAGGCTTCCAATCCC